TTTGGCCAGGACTGCACTGGGTCTCTGCAGGGGTCCTGTCTCTCCCCCTGGAGGAGGGGGGGTCAGGGCCTGGTCTGCATGTGCAGCCAGGTCCGGACCTTCCGCCTCCAGGCCCTGCAGAGACTCCTCTTTAGTGCAGGTAGTCCGGCATGGGGCACCTTGGCGCGCGCTTTCCTCCGCCGCCTCCGAGGGCTCCGATACAACCGGCAGCTCTTCTTTATCCACCCGAGGGGCCTTCTGCGAGACCTCTCAGAGCTGCCAGAATTCTACCAGGACCTCCTCCAGACCTGGAAGCTGTTTTCGGTGACCAGGTCCATTGTGGCCTCCGAGGGAGCAGACCTCCTCGCGGAGCCCCTGCTCCACAATCCAGCCTTGTGCGTACAGGTGGCGGAATCTCCCTCGGTGCGCCGGAGGCTGATCCTGGCAGAAACCACCACGGTTGGAGACCTCCTGGACTACAATGGGGGGACTGGGTGGATCCCCGAGCGCTCGCTTGGCACATGGGGCTCTCCACCCCCCTGAACTCTTCTGCGCCTACTCCAGGTGAAGGCGGCTTTGCCGCGGCCCGCTCTCGACCTCCTACAGAGAGCCCTGTGAGAGGGGATGCCCCGCCCCTCCCTTTCTGCAAAGCCTCCGTCTATTTTTACTGGGCCCCTATTCCAAGTGGCGGGACTATCTAAGACCTATAGAGGGTGGGGGACCCCGATGGGCCAGTGTGTATTCCACCTTAATTCCACGGCCCATCGGGGACATCAGTTGGCGGCTCCTTTACGGGGCCGTGAGCACGGGCATGTACCCGGTGCGGTTCACCCCCATACCGGAAGCCTGCCCCTTTTGCGGCGTGAGGGAAAACCTGGCGCACGCCTACCTCGAATGCGCCAGGTTGTAGCCCCTATTCCGGCTCCTCCAGATCCTCTTACTGAGGTTCTGGCTGCACTTTTCCCCTCACCTTTTCATTTATGCACACCCAATCCGTGGCCCCACAAAGTCGCGAGACCTCCTCGTCAACCTCCTCCTGGCCCAGGCGAAAGCTTCCATATACAGCACCAGGAGAAGGATGCTGAACAAAGGGGTGTTCTGTGACTGTGGGGCCTATTTCTGCTTCTTCCTACACTCACATCGGGGCAGAGTTCTTCTGGGCAGTGTCCAGTTGCTCCCTGGATAGCTTCAAGGAGCAGTGGGTGCTGTCTAAGGTTCTCTGCTTGGTGTCTCCATCTGGCTCCGTTGTTTTGAACCTATGACCTGCACTCCTGATCCCTTTATTCATTGTTTGTCCCCCATAATCAATGGAATCCTGGGTCCAGTGGACCTTCCTGCAAGGCTCGGAGAGGGGCTTTTAGAAGTGAACTGGGCTTGTGCCTGCCCACGTCCAGGGGTTCACAAGTATCCCCCTGGAATTCCCAAAGTAAAAGTGCAAACTCACTTCTGCCTGCCTCAGGCCTGACCTTTCCTCTCTCTGAATACCTCCGTCTTCACTCCCCTGCAGGACGTCCAGCTTTTTTATCCAGGCTTCTCACCACCTAACCATCACCGGGCAGATTCTAACCTGGGACCTCTGGAGCCTCTACTACAGCTTGAGTTATGCAGCCAGCTGGCTCTCAGCTTAGGCTGTAGAGCTCCCTTGTTCTTTGCTCTGGCTGTCAGTGGTCTAAGTGGCTCTCCATGGGACAGTGACCCACACCCACTAGGTGTGAGAGTTACACATGCTCCAGCCCAGTGTGGAATTGCCAGCTCTGAGGTACAAGCAACCCAGATGTCCGGGATGAACCTGAGCCCTTATTACTGGATGCAGGGCTGCTACATCAAGAACAGGACTGTCCTGTAAAAGGTGGATAAGTGGCAGTGTTGATCCTGGGGCTGCTCTCTCACTCCCGGCCTCTGGCCAGCCTTCGCTATTCAGGCTGATTGAAGGCCACCTCTCCCCTGGCCTCCCCCCGGTCTCCCTACTCTCCAGTTCTTCTCTGTCTGCCTGCAGCCCCCTTCTTCTCCTGATGTGATTTCTTTCAAGTCACCAGGCAGTTTCTTCCCGAGTTGGGCTGCATCCTTAACTAAGCCTGGTCCACCCTCCAGGACAGCCATATTAAACCCACATGAACTCTCTTGTTGCCTGTGTACAGGCCGCACCCCATCACACTAACCCTTTGCGCAGTGAGCCCTGACCTTTGACCTGTTCACTAATATGCCCAACTGGTGATGAAATACAATCCAGACGGCTCATTCTTGGTCATCAGCTTGTGTCCTACCCAGCCCGTAGAAAACCTTAAAACTTAATCAGCCATCTATGGGAAAGTAAAACCACACAAAGCTTTACCATGTATCAGGACAAATCTGAGATGTCATTTCAACATCACGGGTTGTATTCCTCTCCAATTCCCAGATGTGGGAGGATCCGCCACAAAAGATTCATGATGGGGTAGCAATGCTGGCTAGGGAAAAAGAGAAATACATCAGTGACTTATAAGAATAAGAACATAATAATAATAATAATAATAAAGCTTCCTTTCTCCCCATAACTGGAAAGTTCAAAAATTGTACAATTACATTTTGAAATGTTTGAAGGCTGACAACCGGCATGTCACTAGTCAAAAACATGGAGAGAGGAAGAAAATGTCTACACATCTTTGTTTAAACGTTTTTTATTTCAAATTTTTGCCAACATTTTAATCATCTTTATCCGCTGTATGTGGCAAGGTGGGGGTCAGGCATTTAGAGTGGGAGCCTCTGCCCCTTTGGAGCAACAATTGCACCCAAATGTTCCCTGGATGGCTCTGAGGATAGAACAAGAAGCAATGGGCTAAAACTGCAGCAATGAGGTTTAGGTTGGACATTAGGAAAAACTTCCTGTCAGGGTGGTCAAAACACGGGAATAAATTGCCTAGGGAGGTTGTGGAATCTCCATCTCTGGAGATATTTAAGAGCAGGTTAGATAAATGTCTATCAGGGATGGTCTAGACAGTGTTTGGTCCTGCCATGGGCAGGAGACTGGACTCAATGTCCTCTCGAGGTCCCTTCCAGTCCTAATATTCTATGATTCTATGATTCCATGAAACAAAGCCATTGTCTCTGTGCATTATACTTTTCCAAGCGAACGGTTTGTGGAGAGGAAAAAGACTGATCCGGGGGCTTTTCAATTTTCATCTGGGAAAGGAGACGCCCGTATTAGACGAGAAATATGTCTTGCCAGCTAGAGTAGGTCCTGGCACGCCGTTTAAAATGCCTTTGGCTTTTAAACGTGAAGAAGGAGCCAACGTGAAGCTCCTGTAGAAGAGGGCACAGAGGCAATGCGGGAAGATGGATGGAGTGATTTACGAAGCATAGACTTGCCAGGCTTGCATGGCGCTCAACAATCAAGCCCCTGCTGAAAAGAGCCGCCTCCTGGGACTGGTTAAGGACTAATGATCTATGAGGTTCTGCGACTGCCAACTGCTGATGCAGTCAGGAGGTCACAGCTCATGGGAGATGAATGGGAGCCCCAGGGAGTGATAAGATGCACATCGGCCTCTTTACAATTTATTGCCCCCACATTTACTTAAGAAGCAAGGGTGGCGGAAGGTAAACAGCGCGCGCCAAAGATCCCTCCGAGAAGGTAAAAGTTGCCTGTGTCCCAGAGCATAGCTCCTGCTCTGCCGGGTGCACTCCACCCCCTCCTTACCCAATAATGTTGCAGCAGCCGCAGGAGAAAAGACAGACATATGTTTGGTATCCAGAGCCAAGCCTCTGACTGGCAAAAGGAGCGAGGCGCCTGCCAAGCCCCCATTTGTCACTCAGCATTGAGGAGGAAAGCTGCTGCAACCCAACAGCAGAGCCTCTGCAAGCAGCCCAGACCCCCCCTCCCTCCCGGGATAGCCTGACAGCCCCAAGGAGAGGCCTCGGGAGGGTAAAACCTGCACTGCAGAGAAGGAGAAGATGGGCAGGTGTTACACGGGAAGGGACCCGGAGGCAACATGTTTCCCGCCTTTCTGCATTTCAGCCGGACACTCTGCTGCAGAAAAGGTCCCCAGAGATGTGGTTTTTCAGGAAGCTTCCCAAGGAGTCAAACCTCAGGGCTGCTGTGTATAAAACCCAGAACGTAGCCACGAATAACAGTTCCCAATCCGCTTCCAAGAGACTCCACGGTACTATTCCTTAGTAAACAAAGCAACAGCGAACACGCACCCCAACATGGAATGCGGCTTTTAAAAGAGGGAGGAGTTCACTGTTGGAACAATTTACCAAGGACTGGGGGGAACTTTTTACAATCAAGAGAGGATGTTTTCTGGGCTCACAAGGCATTAATTCCGGCAACTTCTCTGGCATGCGTTATCCTGGAGGCCAGAGAGTAGATGACCCTCATGCACCTTCTGCCCTAAGTACATGTGAAAGAGAACACTGACAATGATATTTGGAAAACCTCTGTGAAATTTTTAAAGCAAAGTGATTAGGTCGCCAGTCTACTGATTCTTATATACACGTCCCTATGTTGTCTCTGTTACGTTTACTTCACTGCAGAGTAACGTTTACATTTCTGTACATTAGGGCACCAGAACTGGGGGGGAAAGGGAGTCAGGGGACCATCATTAGGGTGGGGGGGGGAAGCAGTGGAAGGGTGGGGTCATGGATCAGTGGCCCCAGTATCGGTGGTACCCTCTCTTTTAGGGAGATGCCATGGCTCCTAGTTAGGACACACATTCCCCTCCGACCTTTGTTCAGAGAGGATTCTTCCCTTGCTCACGTGTGGCCATCACATGCAGTCGCCCGGGCTCTTCAGAGCATGACCAGAATGGCAGCGGCTCGATTCTTTCCCAAGCCCTGTCAGCGAGGATCCTTACAGCTGCCAGCTTTCCCCACCGTGGGTGAGCACGATCAGGCCTTCCTCGGTGGCCAGGCTGACAAGACTCTGTATGTGCAGCGGTGCCGGCCCCCAGTCAGCATAGCAGATGCACCTGCACCGCACGGCCGCTAACGCCCACCTTTATAACCGTTTCCCCCTGAGCTGCGATTGGTGCAGGTCTCACACAGTGACTGTCTCCCCTAAGTGAAAATGTCTCTCTCAGCCTCAGAAACGGCCACGGAACACGTCTAGTAACTGCCCCGCCCTGCTTCTGTTGCTCCGGCCTTCCGCCAGAATTAGGTGGTAACGGATTTCAGTTGGCGGGGACCCGGACTGGATCCGAAACATGCCCGCAACCTAACAAGCTTCTCTTAGGCTTTTCTCGGGAGACACGGGTTTCACTCTTCAGGAAGGAAGAGGCAGCTGGGGGTCAAATGCTCCCAGTCATGGCTACACGAGAGCCTGCACGTCCCTGAAGGATACGCGCCTCAGGGGACCATTGCATGCAAGCCCGTAGCATAGCAACACTGTTCCCAAGGGAACACTCAGGTGTCACAGGAATCAGGAAACAAAGATGGAGGCCGGGGGCGGAGAGAGGAGTCTGGGCTGCTAGATGCCATTGTCCATGCTACTGGAGAGCTGTGTCTGAGAAAGAGCTAACATGGGCCAGTTACACTGTACAAACTCCTAGCTCTAGAGCCCAGGGTCTGTGCTCTGTCTCAGCAACCTGAGGTCTGCTTGTTGCATTAGGGAATAAAGAAACCCCATCCCCTTCCCCTCCTTACTTCCAGTCTCTCCCATCAGCCCCTCAGCCGGCAGCCCCGGTAGGTGTTATGCCTCAGTCCCCAGCCAAATGATGGAAGTTGGCAGGCCATGTTCTTTCCTGCGTGTTTGGTAAAAACTCTCTCCTGCTCCCCTTCTCCACCTCTGGATTTGCCAGAAGAGACTGAGTCCCCGTAACACTCCCTCAAAGGTAGGCCCATGTAATCATGCTCCAGGGCCCGGCAGGCAAGCACAAATCACTGCCCCAGAAGGCCTGGCTTTGCACATGAGCAGCTTCCACACAGCCCCTTGGCATTACCTGCGGACAGGGCCTGTCAGAGCCAGGACTAAGGCCTGCAAACCGTCTGTAGGCCATAGGCTGAGTCCCAAGCCAGGCCTAGGTGGGGGACGGGGCGGTGGGCATGTTAGAAGGAAGCTGCCGCTAGGGTTGCCAGATGGTTGAAATAAAAATACTGACATTTCCTCCCCACCCCCCACCCCCCAAAAAAAACACTGGGAAAAAATTCTGTTAAAGGGAAAAAAGGGGGAGGGGGAAGCTGCTGAGCAAATAAATAAATAAATAAATAAAGACTCCAAGGACTTAAGCCAAAAAAAAAAAAAATTAAAATAAAACAACATTAAAACACCAGGTCCTGAAGTGCTAAAGGAACCGACCAGGGGCCATGCGCAGCTTGACCTGCTGCTCACAAAGAAGGAGGAATTAGTAGAAGAAGTAGGGCTGGCAGCCATTTTGTGCCGGCAGCCTTGGGGAACCAGGTAAGCATGGGGGCTGGGGTCAGAGGGTTGGGGGCCAGGAGGAGAGAGGGGCTCAGGGGGAGGAGGGGGAAGCCGGGCATTGAGTGCTTGTAGGGTTGCCAGGTGCCCAGCATTTTCGCCACTTGGCTGGGGAAAAATTCAGAGAATACCAGCCATCTCAGGTGTCTGGTATTCTCTGAATTTTTTTTACCAGACAAGAGCCGAAAATACCGGACTGTCTGGGTGAATACCAGACACCTGGCAACCCTAGCTGCCACACACAGAAGCAGCAGTGCCAGTTCTTGCAACCTCATGCCAGGTCTCACTAGACTCACTCTCTTTGGTGCTCTTCTTAAAGCCTGGGCACCAGACGCTCTGCTTTTACATAAAAAAAGGTCAACTAAACATTTGAGAGCTTCTCCCCCTCCTGGGTGCAGAGATAAGCCTAACAATGGGTACGTCAAAAGTCAGCATGCAAATAAAACTTCCCATTACAAACTCACCCATCCCTCACACGCACGATTGTTAGGCCCACCTCATGGTTTGGTGGCCTGAACCGTTTCAGACAGTTCGGGTTTGGCCACGCTGCAGCGCCATCCCTACCACTGGTGTATGCGGGACTCACGGGAACTTTTTTGGTGCTTCTGATGTGTGTGTTACTGGTTGCAGTGTGCTATCCCGCTGCAGGACTTTGGAAATCCTGGATTCCCCCACCACACACAGTTCCCTTAAATGCTTATTGAACACAGATGTCATTTTCCCTCCAGATGCTTCCGTTAGTATTGCTCCAAATAAAGCATTTCCTAGCTATTTTTTTTCCAAATCATCTCTTCACATTCATGCCCCAGAGTTGGACCATTTCCTCGCCCATGCATTGGAATAATTTATGGGTGTCTTCCCGAGAAAGGCTGTTCCAGTCACTCTGTGTTCCACACTCTGCTGTTCCAGCCTGACTCCAGGCAAGCGTTTGACTCTATGATGCTTCCAGAGTAGAATTTACCAAGCTCTTGAGTAACATCTGCAAGAGAACACTGTGGCTGACACCAAAGTGAGTCATGAACTGTCCATCTTCTTGTCAGGTAGGTTTGATATAATCTTGGATGATGGAGGGCTTGCTAACTCAATTTCTGTCCTCCAGCCACGGTCCTTTGCAAAACAACTGGAGGCTCATCATAAATGCTTTTTGTACCGAGCAATGTGGATGCATCTTCCATTGTAGTAGCTTGCGTGTTTTGTGCTGGGAATTTGGGTGCATACCTCATGGCTGGTGAATGAAAACTCTACTGGGAAATTTGCTCTCCCGGTGCCCACATTTACCATGTTGCATTACAAACTGGATGTGGTACCTGAGACCTTCACTAGAAGTAACAGATACTGATTCTTGCTACACGGAAAGTCCAGGTCCAACCAGAGCAATGGTCAGACTGTGCTGCCAGGCTTTCGAGTCTGCCATGAGAAAGCAGATCCCATCAGATTAATAGAAGTGTTGCTATTTGGAGAAAAGCCAGCATCAGCCACAATGTGTACAATGCTAAGTGCATTTACGCACCAGCCGTGGGGCTGGCTCAGAGGATACTCATACAGAATGGGAAGAGACTGTCTAGGAAGGAGTACTGCAGAAAGGGATCTAGGGGTCATTGTGGATCACAAGCTAAATATGAGTCAACAGTGTGACACTGTTGAAAAAAAGCAGATACGATTCTGGGATGCATTAACGGGAGTGCTGTCAGCAAGACATGAGACGTCATTCTTCCGCTCTACTCTGAGCTGATTCGGCCTCAACTGGAGTATAGGAGGCCCCCGACTTACAACTGCCTGAGTTCCAACTCCCCGCACTTATAACCATTTTTGTAAGTGCAGAAGGGGCCAAAAAACCCTGACTTGCCTCCTCGGCCTGCATTTACGACAGCGCACAGCGCCTATTGTAAATGAGGGTTCGAGTTACTACGCCCCCGACTTGCGACACTTCCCCAAGAACCAATCGCATCGCAAGTCGGGGGCCACCTGTATTGTGTCCAGTTCTGGGCACTGCATTTCAGGAAAGATGGAGACAAATTGAAGAAGGTCCAGAGAAGAGCAACAAAAATGATCAAAGGGTGGGATTGGTCCTGCCTTGGGCATGGGGCTGGACTTAATGACTTCCTGAGGTCTCTTCCAGCCTATGATTCTCTGAAAGGTCTGGAAAACATGACCTCTGAGGGAAGACTGAAAGAATTGGGTTTGTTTAGTTTGGAAAAGAGAAGACTAAGAGGGGACATGATAGCCTTTTTCAAGTGTTACGGGTAGGAGGGAGAAAAATTGTTCCCCTTGATCTCTAAGGATAGGACAAAAAGTAGCGGGCTTAAATTGCAACAAGGGAGGTTTAGGTTGGACATTAGGAAAAACTTCCTAACGGTCAGGGTGATTAAACACAGGGATAAATCAGGGGGGGTTGTGGAATCTCCATCACTGGAGATATTTAGGAGCAGGTTAGATTCAGGGAAGAGGTTGAACTGCAGTTAAGTCACTCGATTAACTCGAAAAAATTAATCCCACTGTTAAGCAATAGAACACTAACTAAAATGTATCAAACATTTGTGGATGTTTTTCTACATTTTCAATACTGATTTAAATTACAACAAATACATGTGCTATATAAATGATAAACAAAATAAATAGTATTTTTCAATTCACTTCATATAAATACTGAAGCTCAATCTCTTCACTTGGAAGTGTAACTAGCAAATGTAGATTTTATTACATAACTGCACTCAAAAATAAAACACGGTAAAACTTTAGAGTCCACAAGTCTACTCAGTCCTACAGATTGAACCTCTCTAGTCCAGCACTTTCTGATCTGGCAACATCTGTGGTCAGGCATGTTTTTAGTTGGCCACGTATCATGTGTATGGGCAAAGGTCATACCCACGATCCCATAAAGTTTGTTTACAGCCTGGTCCTGGTTTTTAGTGTTCTGTGCTGTTATGTAGCTCTAATTTACCCCTCAATGTCTTTTTAGAGCCCAGTAAGCAGTGGAAGTGTTGGAGATGCTGCTAGGCAATATTGACCTTCCGTGGTTTGGTAAATTCTCTGGCTCAGCATTGGTCAGGTGCCAAAGGTTGGATTAGAGAGTTTCAGCCTGTACTTCTTGTTCTGCCTGCTTCTTATTTACAATGTCACCAGCAAGTGCGGATGGGTGTTCATTTGGCTCTTTTGTATCCAGCTTTGCTTGGTATTTACTGCCAGATATTACATCATGGCTAAGCACTCTTGTGACACTGGTAATGTGAAGAGGGTGGCAGGACAAAAGCATGAGCAACCTCAAATCACTTCAAGCAGTTGCTTTCTCGAGGTCTCTGGCACCCCCATTACTGACATATTCACAAGGCTCACTACTGCTTGTAACACGTTTAGCATTGTTTATGCTACTATTCCTGCACTTAGCTGGACCACCCTCTGCAGGCAGCTAGGTTTGAAAAGCAGCTCTGTTCATCGTGCTTCCCCCGACCACCCAGTGAAATGGCCCTGGTGATCTTCCTATGCTTGCACAGCCATGGAAAATTGCCTGGTTCTGTTTATTGATGTCCTCAGAGGGCAGGGTCAGAATTGGGATATGCTTCCCGACTATCCCACCAGCGCAGTGAGGGAAGGCTGGTTCCATCTGCTATCTCATGCCCATTTCCCATAGTCACGCTGCTGTGCAGCAGGATATGTGTAAAGGCCCTGCCCCCCCAGATGAGGGCTGCCCTCAACATTTTCCAGAAGAGTGCTAGGGAGTGACTGCCCACCAACCGCTAGCAACCCACACTCTGAAATCTTGCCACCCCAATCACCTTTTTCTCCACTGCAGACGCCACCTCTGGAGTGTTGCAGCCTGTTCTGGGCCTCCCATTACAAAAAGGAGGTGAACGCATTGGAGAAGGTCCAGCGGAGGGCAACAAAAATGATTAGGGGTCTGGAGCACATGACCTACGAGGAGAGTCTG